ATAAGCAAGATATTTCATAAAAGCTTAAGTGTGTATGCCCCCCTTGCTCCTCTGGGCTCCAAGAACACACAGAGCCAAACAAGAGATCAGGGAAGTCCTCCTTGGAGAAATTGCCAATTAAGAGAAAAACTAGAGCTAATAATGGTTGAGGTTGCCCAGTGCAATGAACTGAATACTGGCCAGCCAATGTTATCAGATCCCCATCCCTGGACCTATAGTACTTACTACATAAGGATACATTTTCAAGTGTGATTGAGTTAAGGGTCTTGACAAAGAGAGATTCTCCTGGATTATCTGGGTGGGTCCTAAATGCCATTACAAACTCACTGCCATCAAGTCATTGTGACTCATAGCGACCCCCTGTGGCTTTTCAGGACTGTCACTGTGTATAGAGTAGAAAGCCTAGTCTTTCTCCCATGGAGCTGCTGGTGGTTTCGAACTGGTGACCATGTGGATCACAGCCCAACGTGGAACCACTCCACAACCAGGTCCATATAAAATAGAGACCAAGGAAGCTTTCACACATACAGAAGAGGAAGATCAATAATGTGCCCACAAAGGCAGAGATTGGAGTGAGGCAGCCACAAGCCAAGGAATGCCAGCAGTCATGGGTCAAAGCAGAATAAAGGCTGATTTCCACCCTGTGGCTCTAATTTCAGAGTACTGGCCTTCAAATCCCCGAGAGGGAAACTCTCTGCTGTTTCAGGCCATCAGGCTCAAGGTCATTTGTTGCAGCAGCCAAGTTAGAGAGCCCTAGAGTGATGTCTGCCGTGCACAGGGCTCACTGACATGGGGCTGCCAATCGGCTTTTCAGTAGCCAGTCTTAAAATAAACCTCAATCAAAAATCACCAAACATTGGAGGGGGGAAATACTGTTATTACAAAGAAATCAAGCCTATAAAAAAGACCTTCAAACAAGCCAAACTCATGGCCATTGAATCGATGCCAACTCAGCTCGACCCTACAGGACAGGTTAGAACTGCAGCCCTTTACTGGAGTAGAAACCCTCTTTGTTCTCCTGTGGGGCAGCTGGTGGTTTCAAACTGCGAGCCTTGCAGTTGAGTTAGCTGCCCAACACATAAAGCTTCGGAAAAGTTTGTGTTTGGTTTGGTTTTCAACAACTCCACTTGGTTTTTGTTTTTCACAAAAAAAGTGTAACAGTTTTACTGGTATATAAATTCACAGGGAAAGTTTTTGAAAACTAGGAGACTCAAACTCACTGCATTCGGGTTGATTCTGACCCTATAGGATGGGGTAGTGACCCTATAGG